AGAGAGAGAGAGAGAGAGAGAGAGAGAGAGAGAGAGAGAGAGAGAGAGATTTTTTTTTTTTTCCATTAAAACAAGACTCCAGTCTATTTGTGGGGAGCATCACGTGCTGGGAACCGGGCCCAGCGTCCCTTATAACAGGATCAAGAAATCGGGGCCGGGGTCCCCACAGTCTACCCGGGAAAACCATTCACCAAACTACCGAGAGCTTTACCCGGCTTAGCTTTAGAACAATATGTAGCTGGAGGTCGGGGCAACATCCCAAACAACTAGCCAATCATGTGGCTCCGGGTCTGACCTTACATCTGTCTTCTTAGCTTAGTCTAAATTGGCCCATACAACCTCTCATCCTTTCGGCCGTCTGATCTATCAGTCTAACCTAGTCACACGGGCCTAGACTGCAAAACAAGCAAACTTGGCTGACTAACTAATTAAAAAAAGTGAACTTTAGCTGCAAAAGTGATAGTTGAACATTTCTCCCCCGGACTCTGTACTTACTTGAACCACCCTCTTTTACTGAAGATATCTCTCTGGGCCATAAACCAAACCTTGAATCCGAATCTCTATTTCAATTATATCTTTCGACTTAGCCAGGGAGCCAGAGAAATCTTCTGGTCCATGGACACAGAGGCTAGTGGGTTGTTCCCAGCCCACGTCTGTGTGAACCAAACCAGGCCCTTCCTTTGCTTGTCCACCAGAATGGTATATCTCAACTGTATTCGTACTTGTGCTTGTAATTACCATTGAAGTAGGTTTCTTTTTGACTTGGTCTTTCTGAACAGCTACCCTAATGCTAGCTTTGTATTGAATTAAAGGCGTGAACTGAGATTTTGGGCTTTGTGTTTTCCATCCCTGTATGAATGGTTCTACAGTGTAAGAGTCAGCATCCTTTCCTAAAGAACATATTTATTTCCCTCGGTTATCAAAGCGCGACCAAACCCTTACTTCAACTAGATCATCCCATTCATCATCTGGGTTGCTGCTGAGCTCTTCCGAAAAGTTGAGTGTCCTTAATTCTGTGGATGTCGACGTAAGGACCCATTTCTGGACTCTGACCCCCGATGGGATCGCTGGACCAAGAATTTTCCACAGTGTCACGTAGTTTGGTTCCGA